GACCAGGCAAGCTCCTGGACCAGGCACGCTCTTGGACCAGGCAAGCTCCTGGACCAGGCAAGCTCCTGGACAAGGCAAGCTCCTGGACCAGGCAAGCTCCTGGACCAGGCAAGCTCCTGGACCAGGCAAGCTCCTGGTCCAGGCAAGCTCCTGGTCCACGCAAGCTCCTGGACCAGGTAAGCCCCTAGAACAGGCACGCTCCTGGACCAGGCACGCTCCTGGACCAGGCATCCTCCTGGACCAGACACGTTCCTGGACTAGGCACGCTCCTAGACCAGGCACGCTCCTGGACCAGGCAAGCTCCTAGACCAGGCAAGCTCCTGGACCAGCAAGCTCCTGGACCAGGCACGCTCTTGGTCCAGGCAAGCTCCTGGACCAGGCAAGCTCCTGGACCAGGCAAGCTCCTGGACCAGGCAAGCTCCTGGACCAGGCAAGCTCCTGGACCAGGCAAGCTCCCGGACCAGGCAAGCTCTTGGACCAGGCAAGCTCTTGGACCAGGCATGCTCCTAGACCAGGCAAGCTTCTGGACCAGGCAATCTCCTGGACCAGGCAAGATCCTGGACCAGGCAAGCTCCTGGACCAGGCACGCTCCTGGACCAGGCACGCTCTTGGACCAGGCACGCTCCTGGACCAGGCAAGCTCCTGGACCAGGCAAGCTCCTGTTCCAGGCAAGCTCCTGGACCAGGCAAGCTCCTGTTCCAGGCAAGCTCCTGGACCAGGCACGCTCCAGGACCCCGCCCCATTCTCCCGCTTTCTATCACCCCGCCCCATTCTCACTCCTTCCATCACCCCGCCCCATTCTCCCGCTTTCCATCACCCCGCCCCATTCTCACTCCTTCCATCACCCCGCCCCATTCTCCCGCTTTCCATCACCCCGCCCCATTCTCCCGGGACCAGGCACGCTCCTGGACCAGGCAAGCTCCTGGACCAGGAAAGCTCCTAGACCAGGCAAGCTCCTGGACCAGGCAAGCTCCTGTACCAGGCACGCTCTTGGACCAGGCAAGCTCCTGGACCAGGCAAGCTCCTGGACCAAGCAAGCTCCTGGACCAGGCTAGCTCCTGGACCAGGCAAGCTCCTGGACCAGGCAAGCTCCCGGACCAGGCAAGCTCTTGGACCAGGCAAGCTCTTGGACCAGGCAAGCTCCTGGTCCACGCAAGCTCCTGAACCAGGCAAGCTCCTAGAACAGGCACGCTCCTGGACCAGGAACGCTCCTGGACCAGGCATCCTCCTGGACCAGACACGTTCCTGGACTAGGCACGCTCCTAGACCAGGCACGCTCCTGGACCAGGCAAGCTCCTAGACCAGGCAAGCTCCTGGACCAGGCAAGCTCCTGGACCAGGCACGCTCTTGGTCCAGGCAAGCTCCTGGACCAGGCAAGCTCCTGGACCAGGCACGCTCCTGGACCAGGCAAGCTCCTGGACCAGGCAAGCTCCTGGACCAGGCAAGCTCCTGTTCCAGGCAAGCTCCTGGACCAGGCAAGCTCCTATTCCAGGCAAGCTCCTAGACCAGGCACGCTCCAGGACCCCGCCCCATTCTCCCGCTTTCTATCACCCCGCCCCATTCTCCCGCTTTCCATCACCCCGCCCCATTCTCCCGCTTTCCATCACCCCGCCCCATTTTCCCGCTTTCCATCACCCCGCCCCATTCTCCCGCTTTCCATCACCCCGCCCCATTCTCCCGCTTTCCATCACCCCGCCCCATTCTCCCGCTTTCCATCACCCCGCCCCATTCTCCCGCTTTCCATCACCCTGCCCCATTCTCCCGCTTTCCATCACCCCGCCCCATTCTCCCTCCTTCCATCACCCCGCCCCATTCTCCCGCTTTCCATCACCCCGCCCCATTCTCCCGCTTTCCTTCCCCCCGCCCCATTCTCCCTCCTTCCATCACCCCGCCCCATTCTCCCTCCTTCCATCATCCCACCCCATTCTCCCGCTTTCCATCACACCGCCCCATTCTCCCGCTTTCCATCACCCCGCCCCATTCTCCCGCTTTCCATCACCCCGCCCCATTCTCCCGCTTTCCATCACCCCGCCCCATTCTCCCGCTTTCCATCACCCTGCCCCATTCTCCCGCTTTCCATCACCCCGCCCCATTCTCCCTCCTTCCATCACCCCGCCCCATTCTCCCGCTTTCCATCACCCCGCCCCATTCTCCCGCTTTCCATCCCCCCGCCCCATTCTCCCTCCTTCCATCACCCCGCCCCATTCTCCCTCCTTCCATCATCCCACCCCATTCTCCCGCTTTCCATCACACCGCCCCATTCTCCCGCTTTCCATCACCCCGCCCCATTCTCCCGCTTTCCATCACCCCGCCCCATTCTCCCGCTTTCCATCACCCCGCCCCATTCTCCCGCTTTCCATCACCCCGCCCCATTCTCCCGCTTTCCATCACCCCGCCCCATTCTCCCGCTTTCCATCACCCCGCCCCATTCTTCCTCCTTCCATCACCCCGCCCCATTCTCCCGCTTTCTATCACCCCGCCCAATTCTCCCGCTTTCCATCACCCCGCCCCATTCTCCCGCTTTCCATCACCCCGCCCCATTCTCCCGCTTTCCATCACCCCGCCCCATTCTCCCGCTTTCCATCACCCCGCCCCATTCTCCCTCCTTCCATCACCCCGCCCCATTCTCCCTCCTTCCATCATCCCACCCCATTCTCCCGCTTTCCATCACACCGCCCCATTCTCCCGCTTTCCATCACCCCGCCCCATTCTCCCGCTTTCCATCACCCCGCCCCATTCTCCCGCTTTCCATCAACCCGCCCCATTCTCCCGCTTTCCATCACCCCGCCCCATTCTCCCGCTTTCCATCACCCCGCCCCATTTTCCCGCTTTCCATCACCCCGCCCCATTCTTCCGCTTTCCATCACCACGCCCCATTCTCCCTCCTTCCATCACCCCGCCCCATTCTCCCGCTTTCTATCACCCCACACCATTCTCCCGCTTTCCATCACCCCGCCCCATTCTCCCGCTTTCCATCACCCCGCCCCATTCTCCCGCTTTCCATCACCCCGCCCCATTCTCCCGCTTTCCATCACTCCGCCCCATTCTCCCCCTGCCCCATTCTCCCTCCTTCCATCACCCCGCCCGATTCTCCCTCCTTCCATCATCCCACCCCATTCTCCCGCTTTCCATCACACCGCCCCATTCTCCCGCTTTCCATCACCCCGCCCCATTCTCCCGCTTTCCATCACACCGCCCCATTCTCCCGCTTTCCATCACCCCGCCCCATTCTCCCGCTTTCCATCACCCCGCCCCATTCTCCCGCTTTCCATCACCCCGCCCCATTCTCCCGCTTTCCATCACCCCGCCCCATTCTCCCGCTTTCCATCACCTCGCCCCATTCTCCCTCCTTCCATCACCCCGCCCCATTCTCCCGCTTTCCATCACCCCGCCCCATTCTCCCGGGACCAGGCACGCTCTTGGACCAGGCAAGCTCCTAGACCAGGCAAGCTCCTGGACCAGGCAAGCTCCTGGACCAGGCACGCTCTTGGACCAGGCAAGCTCCTGGACCAGGCAAGCTCCTGGACAAGGCAAGCTCCTGGACCAGGCAAGCTCCTTGACCAGGCAAGCTCCTGGACCAGGCAAGCTCCTGGTCCAGGCAAGCTCCTGGTCCACGCAAGCTCCAGGACCAGGCAAGCCCCTGGACCAGGCACGCTCCTGGACCAGGCATCCTCCTGGACCAGACACGTTCCTGGACCAGGCACGCTCCTGGACTAGGCACGCTCCTAGACCAGGCACGCTCCTGGACCAGGCAAGCTCCTAGACCAGGCAAGCTCCTGGACCAGGCACGCTCTTGGTCCAGGCAAGCTCCTGGACCAGGCAAGCTCCTGGACCAGGCAAGCTCCTGGACCAGGCAAGCTCCTGGACCAGGCAAGCTCCTGGACCAGGCAAGCTCCCGGACCAGGCAAGCTCTTGGACCAGGCAAGCTCTTGGACCAGGCATGCTCCTAGACCAGGCAAGCTTCTGGACCAGGCAATCTCCTGGACCAGGCAAGATCCTGGACCAGGCAAGCTCCTGGACCAGGTACGCTCCTGGACCAGGCACGCTCTTGGACCAGGCACGCTCCTGGACAAGGCAAGCTCCTGGACCAGACAAGCTCCTGGACCAGGCAAGCTCCTGTTCCAGGCAAGCTCCTGGACCAGGCAAGCTCCTGTTCCAGGCAAGCTCCTGGACCAGGCACGCTCCAGGACCCCGCCCCATTCTCCCACTTTCTATCACCCCGCCCCATTCTCCCGCTTTCCATCACCCCGCCCCATTCTCCCGCTTTCCATCACCCCGCCCCATTCTCACTCCTTCCATCACCCCGCCCCATTCTCCCGCTTTCCATCACCCCGCCCCATTCTCCCGGGACCAGGCACGCTCCTGGACCAGGCAAACTCCTGGACCAGGAAAGCTCCTAGACCAGGCAAGCTCCTGGACCAGGCAAGCTCCTGTACCAGGCACGCTCTTGGACCAGGCAAGCTCCTGGACCAGGCAAGCTCCTGGACCAAGCAAGCTCCTGGACCAGGCAAGCTCCTGGACCAGGCAAGCTCCTGGACCAGGCAAGCTCCCGGACCAGGCAAGCTCTTGGACCAGGCAAGCTCTTGGACCAGGCAAGCTCCTGGTCCACGCAAGCTCCTGAACCAGGCAAGCTCCTAGAACAGGCACGCTCCTGGACCAGGAACGCTCCTGGACCAGGCATCCTCCTGGACCAGACACGTTCCTGGACTAGGCACGCTCCTAGACCAGGCACGCTCCTGGACCAGGCAAGCTCCTAGACCAGGCAAGCTCCTGGACCAGGCAAGCTCCTGGACCAGGCACGCTCTTGGTCCAGGCAAGCTCCTGGACCAGGCAAGCTCCTGGACCAGGCAAGCTCCTGGACCAGGCAAGCTCTCGGACCAGGCAAGCTCTTGGACCAGGCAAGCTCTTGGACCAGGCATGCTCCTAGACCAGGCAAGCTTCTGGACCAGGCAATCTCCTGGACCAGGCAAGATCCTGGACCATGCAAGCTCCTGGACCAGGCACGCTCCTGGACCAGGCACGCTCCTGGACCAGGCACGCTCCTGGACCAGGCAAGCTCCTGGACCAGGCAAGCTCCTGGACCAGGCAAGCTCCTGTTCCAGGCAAGCTCCTGGACCAGGCAAGCTCCTGTTCCAGGCAAGCTCCTAGACCAGGCACGCTCCAGGACCCCGCCCCATTCTCCCGCTTTCTATCACCCCGCCCCATTCTCCCACTTTCCATCACCCCGCCTCATTCTCCCGCTTTCCATCACCCTGCCCCATTTTCCCGCTTTCCATCACCCCGCCCCATTCTCCCGCTTTCCATCACCCCGCCCCATTCTCCCGCTTTCCATCACCCCGCCCCATTCTCCCGCTTTCCATCACCCCGCCCCATTCTCCCGCTTTCCATCACCCTGCCCCATTCTCCCGCTTTCCATCACCCCGCTCCATTCTCCCTCCTTCCATCACCCCGCCCCATTCTCCCGCTTTCCATCACCCCGCCCCATTCTCCCGCTTTCCATCCCCCCGCCCCATTCTCCCTCCTTCCATCACCCCGCCCCATTCTCCCTCCTTCCATCATCCCACCCCATTCTCCCGCTTTCCATCACACCGCCCCATTATCCCGCTTTCCATCACCCCGCCCCATTCTCCCACTTTCCATCACCCCGCCCCATTCTCCCGCTTTCCATCACCCCGCCCCATTCTCCCGCTTTCCATCACCCCGCCCCATTCTCCCGCTTTCCATCACCCCGCCCCATTCTCCCGCTTTCCATCACCCCGCCACATTCTCCCGCTTTCCATCACACCGCCCCATTCTCCCGCTTTCCATCACCCCGCCCCATTCTCCCGCTTTCCATCATCCCGCCCCATTCTCCCGCTTTCCATCACCCCGCCCCATTCTCCCGCTTTCAATCACCCCGCCCCATTCTCCCGCTTTCCATCACCCCGCCCCATTCGCCCTCCTTCCATCACCCCGCCCCATTCTCCCGCTTTCCATCACCCCGCCCCATTCTCCCGGGACCAGGCACGCTCTTGGACCAGGCAAGCTCCTGGACCAGGCAAGCTCCTAGACCAGGCAAGCTCCTGGACCAGGCAAGCTCCTGGACCAGGCACGCTCTTGGACCAGGCAAGCTCCTGGACCAGGCAAGCTCCTGGACCAAGCAAGCTCCTGAACCAGGCAAGCTCCTGGACCAGGCAAGCTCCTGGACCAGGCAAGCTCCTGGTCCAGGCAAGCTCCTGGTCCACGCAAGCTCCTGGACCAGGCAAGCTCCTAGAACAGGCACGCTCCTGGACCAGGCACGCTCCTGGACCAGGCATCCTCCTGGACCAGACACGTTCCTGGACTAGGCACGCCTTTAGACCAGGCACGCTCCTGGACCAGGCAAGCTCCTAGACCAGGCAAGCTCCTGGACCAGGCAAGCTCCTGGACCAGGCACGCTCTTGGTCCAGGCAAGCTCCTGGACCAGGCAAGCTCCTGGACCAGGCAAGCTCCTGGACCAGGCAAGCTCCTGGACCAGGCAAGCTCCTGGACCAGGCAAGCTCCCGGACCAGGCAAGCTCTTGGACCAGGCAAGCTCTTGGACCAGGCATGCTCCTAGACCAGGCAAGCTTCTGGACCAGGCAATCTCCTGGACCAGGCAAGATCCTGGACCAGGCAAGCTCCTGGACCAGGCACGCTCCTGGACCAGGCACGCTCCTGGACCAGGCACGCTCCTGGACCAGGCAAGTTCCTGGACCAGGCAAGCTCCTGGACCAGGGAAGCTCCTGTTCCAGGCAAGCTCCTGGACCAGGCAAGCTCCTGTTCCAGGCAAGCTCCTTGACCAGGCACGCTCCAGGACCCCGCCCCATTCTCCCGCTTTCTATCACCCCGCCCCATTCTCCCGCTTTCCATCACCCCGCCCCATTCTCCCGCTTTCCATCACCCCGCCCCATTTTCCCGCTTTCCATCACCCCGCCCCATTCTCCCGCTTTCCATCACCCCGCCCCATTCTCCCTCCTTCCATCACCCCGCCCCATTCTCCCGCTTTCCATCACCCCGCCCCATTCTCCCGCTTTCCTTCCCCCCGCCCCATTCTCCCTCCTTCCATCACCCCGCCCCATTCTCCCTCCTTCCATCACCCCGCCCCATTCTCCCGCTTTCCATCACCCCGCCCCATTCTCCCGCTTTCCTTCCCCCCGCCCCATTCTCCCTCCTTCCATCACCCCGCCCCATTCTCCCTCCTTCCATCATCCCACCCTAAACCCTAAACCCTAAACCCTAAACCCTAAACCCGGGGCGGGGTGATGGAAGGAGGGAGAATGGGGCGGGGTGATGGAAAGCGGGAGAATGGGGCGGGGTGATGGAAGGAGGGAGAATGGGGCGGGGTGATGGAAAGCGGGAGAATGGGGCGGGGTGATGGAAAGCGGGAGAATGGGGCGGGGTGATGGAAAGCGGGAGAATGGGGCGGTGTGATGGAAAGCGGGAGAATGGGGTGGGATAATGGAAGGAGGGAGAATGGGGCGGGGTGATGGAAGGAGGGACAATGGGGCGGGGTGATGGAAAGCGGGAGAATGGGGCGGGATGATAGAAAGCGGGAGAATGGGGCGGGGTGATGGAAGGAGGGAGAATGGGGCGGGGTGATGGAAAGCGGGAGAACGGGGCGGGGTGATGGAAAGCGGGAGAATGGGGCGGGGTGATGGAAAGCGGGAGAATGGGGCGGGGTGATGGAAAGCGGGAGAATGGGGCGGGGTGATGGAAGGAGGGAGAATGGGGCGGGGTGATGGAAGGAGGGAGAATGGGGCGGGGTGATGGAAAGCGGGAGAATGGGGCGGGGTGATGGAAGGAGGGAGAATGGGGCGGGGTGATGGAAAGCGGGAGAATGGGGCGGGGTGATGGAAAGCGGGAGAATGGGGCGGGGTGATGGAAAGCGGGAGAATGGGGCGGTGTGATGGAAAGCGGGAGAATGGGGTGGGATAATGGAAGGAGGGAGAATGGGGCGGGGTGATGGAAGGAGGGACAATGGGGCGGGGTGATGGAAAGCGGGAGAATGGGGCGGGATGATAGAAAGCGGGAGAATGGGGCGGGGTGATGGAAGGAGGGAGAATGGGGCGGGGTGATGGAAAGCGGGAGAATGGGGCGGGGTGATGGAAAGCGGGAGAATGGGGTGGGGTGATGGAAGGAGGGAGAATGGGGCGGGGTGATGGAAAGCGGGAGAATGGGGCGGGGTGATGGAAAGCGGGAGAATGGGGCGGGGTGATGGAAAGCGGGAGAATGGGGCGGGGTGATGGAAAGCGGGAGAATGGGGCGGGGTGATAGAAAGCGGGAGAATGGGGCGGGGTGATGGAAGGAGGGAGAATGGGGCGGGGTGATGGAAAGCGGGAGAATGGGGCGGGGTGATGGAAAGCGGGATAATGGGGCGGTGTGATGGAAAGCGGGAGAATGGGGTGGGATGATGGAAGGAGGGAGAATGGGGCGGGGTGATGGAAGGAGGGAGAATGGGGCGGGGGGATGGAAAGCGGGAGAATGGGGCGGGGTGATGGAAAGCGGGAGAATGGGGCGGGGTGATGGAAGGAGGGAGAATGGAGCGGGGTGATGGAAAGCGGGAGAATGGGGCAGGGTGATGGAAAGCGGGAGAATGGGGCGGGGTGATGGAAAGCGGGAGAATGGGGCGGGGTGATGGAAAGCGGGAGAATGGGGCGGGGTGATGGAAAGCGGGAGAATGGGGCGGGGTGATGGAAAGCGGGAAAATGGGGCAGGGTGATGGAAAGCGGGAGAATGAGGCGGGGTGATGGAAAGTGGGAGAATGGGGCGGGGTGATAGAAAGCGGGAGAATGGGGCGGGGTCCTGGAGCGTGCCTGGTCTAGGAGCTTGCCTGGAACAGGAGCTTGCCTGGTCCAGGAGCTTGCCTGGAACAGGAGCTTGCCTGGTCCAGGAGCTTGCCTGGTCCAGGAGCTTGCCTGGTCCAGGAGCGTGCCTGGTCCAGGAGCGTGCCTGGTCCAGGAGCGTGCCTGGTCCAGGAGCTTGCATGGTCCAGGATCTTGCCTGGTCCAGGAGATTGCCTGGTCCAGAAGCTTGCCTGGTCTAGGAGCATGCCTGGTCCAAGAGCTTGCCTGGTCCAAGAGCTTGCCTGGTCCGAGAGCTTGCCTGGTCCAGGAGCTTGCCTGGTCCAGGAGCTTGCCTGGTCCAGGAGCTTGCCTGGACCAAGAGCGTGCCTGGTCCAGGAGCTTGCCTGGTCCAGGAGCTTGCCTGGTCTAGGAGCTTGCCTGGTCCAGGAGCGTGCCTGGTCTAGGAGCGTGCCTAGTCCAGGAACGTGTCTGGTCCAGGAGGATGCCTGGTCCAGGAGCGTTCCTGGTCCAGGAGCGTGCCTGTTCTAGGAGCTTGCCTGGTTCAGGAGCTTGCGTGGACCAGGAGCTTGCCTGGTCCAAGAGCTTGCCTGGTCCAAGAGCTTGCCTGGTCCGGGAGCTTGCCTGGTCCAGGAGCTTGCCTGGTCCAGGAGCTTGCCTGGTCCAGGAGCTTGCTTGGTCCAGGAGCTTGCCTGGTCCAGGAGCTTGCCTGGTCCAAGAGCGTGCCTGGTACAGGAGCTTGCCTGGTCCAGGAGCTTGCCTGGTCTAGGAGCTTTCCTGGTCCAGGAGTTTGCCTGGTCCAGGAGCGTGCCTGGTCCCGGGAGAATGGGGCGGGGTGATGGAAAGCGGGAGAATGGGGCGGGGTGATGGAAGGAGTGAGAATGGGGCGGGGTGATGGAAAGCGGGAGAATGGGGCGGGGTGATGGAAAGCGGGAGAATGGGGCGGGGTGATAGAAAGTGGGAGAATGGGGCGGGGTCCTGGAGCGTGCCTGGTCCAGGAGCTTGCCTGGAACAGGAGCTTGCCTGGTCCAGGAGCTTGCCTGGAACAGGAGCTTGCCTGGTCCAGGAGCTTGCCTGGTCCAGGAGCTTGCCTGGTCCAGGAGCGTGCCTGGTCCAAGAGCGTGCCTGGTCCAGGAGCGTGCCTGGTCCAGGAGCTTGCCTGGTCCAGGATCTTGCCTGGTCCAGGAGATTGCCTGGTCCAGAAGCTTGCCTGGTCTAGGAGCATGCCTGGTCCAAGAGCTTGCCTGGTCCAAGAGCTTGCCTGGTCCGGGAGCTTGCCTGGTCCAGGAGCTTGCCTGGTCCAGGAGCTTGCCTGGTCCAGGAGCTTGCCTGGTCCAGGAGCTTGCCTGGTCCAGGAGCTTGCCTGGACCAAGAGCGTGCCTGGTCCAGGAGCTTGCCTGGTCTAGGAGCTTGCCTGGTCCAGGAGCGTGCCTGGTCTAGGAGCGTGCCTAGTCCAGGAGCGTGCCTGGTCCAGGAACGTGTCTGGTCCAGGAGGATGCCTGGTCCAGGAGCGTGCCTGGTCCAGGGGCTTGCCTGGTCCTGGAGCTTGCGTGGACCAGGAGCTTGCCTGGACCAGGAGCTTGCCTGGTCCAGGAGCTTGCCTGGTCAAGGAGCTTGCCTGGTCCAGGAGCTTGCCTTGTCCAGGAGCTTGCCTGGTCCAAGAGCGTGCCTGGTCCCGGGAGAATGGGGCGGGGTGATGGAAAGCGGGAGAATGGGGCGGGGTGATGGAAGGAGGGAGAATGGGGCGAGGTGATGGAAAGCGGGAGAATGGGGCGGGGTGATGGAAAGCGGGAGAATGGGGCGGGGTGATGGAAAGCGGGAGAATGGGGCGGGGTGATGGAAAGCGGGAGAATGGGGCGGGGTGATGGAAAGCGGGAGAATGGGGCGGTGTGATGGAAAGCGGGAGAATGGGGCGGGGTGATGGAAAGCGGGAGAATGGGGCGGTGTGATGGAAAGCGGGAGAATGGGGTGGGATGATGGAAGGAGGGAGAATCGGGCGGGGTGATGGAAGGAGGGAGAATGGGGCAGGGGGAGAATGGGGCGGAGTGATGGAAAGCGGGAGAATGGGGCGGGGTGATGGAAAGCGGGAGAATGGGGCGGGGTGATGGAAAGCGGGAGAATGGGGCGGGGTGATGGAAAGCGGGAGAATGGTGTGGGGTGATAGAAAGCGGGAGTATGGGGCGGGGTGATGGAAGGAGGGAGAATGGGGCGTGGTGATGGAAAGCGGAAGAATGGGGCGGGGTGATGGAAAGCGGGAAAATGGGGCGGGGTGATGGAAAGCGGGAGAATGGGGCGGGGTGATGGAAAGCGGGAGAATGGGGCGGGTTGATGGAAAGCGGGAGAATGGGGCGGGGTGATGGAAAGCGGGAGAATGGGGCGGGGTGATGGAAAGCGGGAGAATGGGGCGGTGTGATGGAAAGCGGGAGAATGGGGTGGGATGATGGAAGGAGGGAGAATGGGGCGGGGTGATGGAAGGAGGGAGAATGGGGCGGGGTGATGGAAAGCGGGAGAATGGGGCGGGGTGATGGAAAGCGGGAGAATGGGGCGGGGTGATGGAAAGCGGGAGAATGGGGCGGGGTGATGGAAAGCGGGAGAATTGGGCGGGGTGATAGAAAGCGGGAGAATGGGGCGGGGTGATGGAAGGAGGAAGAATGGGGCGGGGTGATGGAAAGCGGGAGAATGGGGCGGGGTGATGGAAAGCGGGAGAATGGGGCGGGGTGATGGAAAGCGGGAGAATGGGGCGGGGTGATGGAAAGCGGGAGAATGGGGCGGGGTGATGGAAAGCGGGAGAATGGGGCGGGGTGATGGAAAGCGGGAGAATGGGGCGGTGTGATGGAAAGCGGGAGAATGGGGTGGGATGATGGAAGGAGGGAGAATGGGGCGGGGTGATGGAAGGAGGGAGAATGGGGCGGGGGGATGGAAAGCGGGAGAATGGGGCGGGGTGATGGAAAGCGGGAGAATGGGGCGGGGTGATGGAAGGAGGGAGAATGGGGCGGGGTGATGGAAAGCGGGAGAATGGGGCAGGGTGATGGAAAGCGGGAGAATGGGGCGGGGTGATGGAAAGCGGGAGAATGGGGCGGGGTGATGGAAAGCGGGAGAATGGGGCGGGGTGATGGAAAGCGGGAGAATGGGGCGGTGTGATGGAAAGCGGGAGAATGGGGTGGGATGATGGAAGGAGGGAGAATGGGGCGGGGTGATGGAAGGAGGGAGAATGGGGCGGGGGGAAGGAAAGCGGGAGAATGGGGCGGGGTGATGGAAAGCGGGAGAATGGGGCGGGGTGATGGAAGGAGGGAGAATGGGGCGGGGTGATGGAAAGCGGGAGAATGGGGCAGGGTGATGGAAAGCGGGAGAATGGGGCGGGGTGATGGAAAGCGGGAGAATGGGGCGGGGTGATGGAAAGCGGGAGAATGGGGCGGGGTGATGGAAAGCGGGAGAATGGGGCGGGGTGATGGAAAGCGGGAAAATGGGGCGGGGTGATGGAAAGCGGGAGAATGGGGCGGGGTGATGGAAAGCGGGAGAATGGGGCGGGGTGATAGAAAGCGGGAGAATGGGGCGGGGTCCTGGAGCGTGCCTGGTCTAGGAGCTTGCCTGGAATAGGAGCTTGCCTGGTCCAGGAGCTTGCCTGGAACAGGAGCTTGCCTGGTCCAGGAGCTTGCCTGGTCCAGGAGCTTGCCTGGTCCAGGAGCGTGCCTGGTCCAGGAGCTTGCCTGGTCCAGGAGCTTGCCTGGACCAAGAGCGTGCCTGGTCCAGGAGCTTGCCTGGTCCAGGAGCTTGCCTGGTCTAGGAGCTTGCCTGGTCCAGGAGCGTGCCTGGTCTAGGAGCGTGCCTAGTCCAGGAACGTGTCTGGTCCAGGAGGATGCCTGGTCCAGGAGCGTTCCTGGTCCAGGAGCGTGCCTGTTCTAGGAGCTTGCCTGGTTCAGGAGCTTGCGTGGACCAGGAGCTTGCCTGGTCCAAGAGCTTGCCTGGTCCAAGAGCTTGCCTGGTCCGGGAGCTTGCCTGGTCCAGGAGCTTGCCTGGTCCAGGAGCTTGCCTGGTCCAGGAGCTTGCTTGGTCCAGGAGCTTGCCTGGTCCAGGAGCTTGCCTGGTCCAAGAGCGTGCCTGGTACAGGAGCTTGCCTGGTCCAGGAGCTTGCCTGGTCTAGGAGCTTTCCTGGTCCAGGAGCTTGCCTGGTCCAGGAGCGTGCCTGGTCCCGGGAGAATGGGGCGGGGTGATGGAAAGCGGGAGAATGGGGCGGGGTGATGGAAGGAGTGAGAATGGGGCGGGGTGATGGAAAGCGGGAGAATGGGGCGGGGTGATGGAAGGAGTGAGAATGGGGCGGGGTGATAGAAAGCGGGAGAATGGGGCGGGGTCCTGGAGCGTGCCTGGTCCAGGAGCTTGCCTGGAACAGGAGCTTGCCTGGTCCAGGAGCTTGCCTGGAACAGGAGCTTGCCTGGTCCAGGAGCTTGCCTGGTCCAGGAGCGTGCCTGGTCCAAGAGCGTGCCTGGTCCAGGAGCGTGCCTGGTCCAGGAGCTTGCCTGGTCCAGGATCTTGCCTGGTCCAGGAGATTGCCTGGTCCAGAAGCTTGCCTGGTCTAGGAGCATGCCTGGTCCAAGAGCTTGCCTGGTCCAAGAGCTTGCCTGGTCCGGGAGCTTGCCTGGTCCAGGAGCTTGCCTGGTCCAGGAGCTTGCCTGGTCCAGGAGCTTGCCTGGTCCAGGAGCTTGCCTGGTCCAGGAGCTTGCCTGGACCAAGAGCGTGCCTGGTCCAGGAGCTTGCTGGTCCAGGAGCTTGCCTGGTCTAGGAGCTTGCCTGGTCCAGGAGCGTGCCTGGTCTAGGAGCGTGCCTAGTCCAGGAACGTGTCTGGTCCAGGAGGATGCCTGGTCCAGGAGCGTGCCTGGTCCAGGAGCGTGCCTGTTCTAGGGGCTTACCTGGTCCAGGAGCTTGCGTGGACCAGGAGCTTGCCTGGACCAGGAGCTTGCCTGGTCCAGGAGCTTGCCTGGTCCAGGAGCTTGCCTGGTCCAGGAGCTTGCCTTGTCCAGGAGCTTGCCTGGTCCAGGAGCTTGCCTGGTCCAAGAGCGTGCCTGGTCCAGGAGCTTGCCTGGTCCAGGAGCTTGCCTTGTCTAGGAGCTTGCCTGGTCCAAGAGCGTGCCTGGTCCCGGGAGAATGGGGCGGGGTGATGGAAAGCGGGAGAATGGGGCGGGGTGATGGAAGGAGGGAGAATGGGGCGAGGTGATGGAAAGCGGGAGAATGGGGCGGGGTGATGGAAAGCGGGAGAATGGGGCGAGGTGATGGAAAGCGGGAGAATGGGGCGGGGTGATGGAAAGCGGGAGAATGGGGCGGGGTGATGGAAAGCGGGAGAATGGGGCGGGGTGATAGAAAGCGGGAGAATGGGAGCTTGCCTGGTCCAGGAGCGTGCCTGGTCCAGGAGCTTGCCTGGAACAGGAGCTTGCCTGGAACAGGAGCTTGCCTGGTCCAAGAGCTTGCCTGGTCCAAGAGCTTGCCTGGTCCGGGAGCTTGCCTGGTCCAGGAGCTTGCCTGGTCCAGGAGCTTGCCTGGTCCAGGAGCTTGCCTGGTCCAGGAGCTTGCCTGGTCCAGGAGCTTGCCTGGACCAAGAGCGTGCCTGGTCCAGGAGCTTGCCTGGTCCAGGAGCTTGCCTGGTCTAGGAGCTTGCCTGGTCCAGGAGCGTGCCTGGTCTAGGAGCGTGCCTAGTCCAGGAACGTGTCTGGTCCAGGAGGATGCCTTGTCCAGGAGCGTGCCTGGTCCAGGAGCGTGCCTGTTCTAGGAGCTTGCCTGGTCCAGGAGCTTGCGTGGACCAGGAGCTTGCCTGGACCAGGAGCTTGCCTGGTTTAGGAGCTTGCCTGGTCCGGGAGCTTGCCTGGTCCAGGAGCTTGCCTGGTCCAGGAGCTTGCCTGGTCCAAGAGCGTGCCTGGTCCAGTAGCTTGCCTGGTCCAGGAGCTTGCCTGGTCTAGGAGCTTGCCTGGTCCAGGAGCTTTCCTGGTCCAAGAGCGTGCCTAGTCCCGGGAGAATGGGGCGGGGTGATGGAAAGCGGGAGAATGGGGCGGGGTGATGGAAGGAGGGAGAATGGGGCGGGGTGATGGAAAGCGGTAGAATGGGGCGGGGTGATGGAAAGCGGGAGAATGGGGCGGGGTGATGGAAAGCGGGAGAATGGGGCGGGGTGATGGAAAGCGGGACAATGGGGCGGTGTGATGGAAAGCGGGAGAATG